TGCGGTGTCATTTGGGGCCGCTTGTGTTTGTCAGACATAATCTCACCATCCGGAACAAACAATGCACTCAGGTGGAACGAAATCTTCTTATCTCAAAATGAGGCAACCCTTGAAACGGTTCGGTTTCCGCTCGGTTTCCCTTTTCAAACCAATGCGGACGATATCTCAGCCGGGTAGGTCGAGCAACTGACAAGCATAATAATTATACCACGATTATGAGGAAATAGGTTCTCATAGCACTCCAATAATTCCGTTTCGGCAATTTGGTGGTATGAACATCCGTAGCATGGCATGGGATTAGGATTCCCTTAGAGTCGACCGTGTGTTTTGATCCCAGCTTGTTCCCTTTGTCAGGCAGCCGTGGAACACCCCAGCTAGCCCCTCTGGCAGTGTTGGCCCCATATTAATCAACCCCAGTTTATGAATATGGGGGGTGTTCCCTTGCAACAGTGATGAATTCCACTGAACCCAGGGAGAAGAACCCCCCTATGAATGAACTGGGGTTTATTTATCCGGGGTAGGAGTTGGCCCAGGCGGCATGTCCAAGCTCCGGGAGATCTTGCTGGCCAGGGCCAAGGACTGAATCCACGTCCCCGTTTGAAGACTACCGGTTGAACCGGCACTAAATGGTTGGCTTCCGAAAAAGACATCCATTTATGCATCTTTAAACACACTCCCACTTGGCTGTGCTTTGTGGATACGCTGCCCCTTAGATCTATTCCATGACTGGGCGTGTCTCTTTTGGCAACCGTTTCCTCTTGGTTTGCGAGGGAAACCAAAAGGGCCCCACCCATTTTTCAGGCTTCCCCTATGACTCAACCCGGTGCTTAGGAGCACCAAAAGGACACTGTTGAGGCTTCCTCTGGCTCACCCCGGCCGTTTCAGGAGCCAGCGAAGCTCCACCCCTTGGACGCGCAGGCACTCGGATCGGATGCCCCTTGCTCGCTGCTCACTAGGGAATGCCCAGCAAATTGGGAATGAACCTACCCAGAGGCTCCCGATTGATTTAGGGCCTTCAAACAAGCTGGTTTTTAGACCCCCAACCAGGTATCCACCTCCGGGGTGTCTAATGGAGGGGTCGGGTCTTCCATTGAAAGCCCCAGGAGCCTTCGGGTAGATGAAAGGAAACAACACGGGGATGGTTTATAGGGCCAAGGAGGGGTACTGTGGATGGTGACGCGAAATCCGCGAGTCTCGCACCACGAAATGAGTTGCCATGATTGAAACCATGAGATTTGTTAAGGTATTTTTAAGGGAATCGAATCATGCCAGGGCCTCTAAAAAGTGGTGCGAAATGGTGTCGTCCATACACAGTGTGGTGGCACCTGGAATGATCAAGCTTCCACACTGTGTATGGAGAGTCCCTGATTTCCGATGTTTTGTGTAAGGAGAGATCATTACTAATTATGCCTCGGGTGGATATGGGCTGATCCTTGCTTGCAACTCTTCCAGCAGAATAGCTTTACAGCCAAAAGGCCTTTTCCGGCCAGAGTGTCCAGGACTCCGGAATCCCTGCTGGCCGAATTCTCGTGACTGTTGCCATTGTGGTGCTATTGAAGCGCCGTACAACATGACGCGGTATGGGATTATGGATGCATCATGCACAGTGAAGGTGATCAGATCGCAGCATTGATGTGGAGGGGTTGACAAAGTGATTGCAATTTACTGAAATCACTAAGTGATTGCCGGCGAAAGCAACAAATGGGTTGGCGGAAGCCTGCCGCAAGCGATTACGGAAACTTGAGTAGTTTCCTCCACGTGTAACAGGTCTTTTTTCACTGCTCACTTTGCTTCTGCGTGAGATTCAATCGCCGAAGAGGAAACGGGGACAAGACAAATTGCCTTCTTTGGGGACTCGCCATCGAACCGATCCATCCAGCGAGATTCGGTCGGCGCAGGTGCCGAACTGCTTGTGGCTTGGCTCCATATCAGGCGTTCAGCGAGCTGAGTGGCTAAAATGAGGCACCGGCTTTGATTCGGTGAACCAGTGTTAAACCAGATTAAACCAGAGTGGTTTCATCCACCAGAGGGGGTTTCACCCACCAGGTTTCACCACCAGGTTTGCGAGATGTCCACCATTGTCAAGCCTTTTAACCTTTCGGTTTTCCCAGTTCGGTGTCGTTTTGAAGGTTTAGAACCCCCGCCTCTGTGGGAAGATAGACGGGTGATTGGAGAGTTCACCTCATGCGCTCTCCAAATTACACAGACTGACATCGAATCCCAAGAACAACTATACATTGTGAGGAAGAAACCTTAAAGGCAGGCTTAAAGGGTCTTGGGGGGAGGGGTTGGACTTCTGTATCGGTTTCGCAGGTGTATGGATTTTGGGTGCATTTCCTTCCGACTTTTTCTCGAAGCTTTGAGTTAGCTAGCAGCTAAAGGGTGTCAGGGCCAAACATGGATTATAATCTGAGGGTTTCTCAGACTAGGGTGCCTGAAAATGCACCAAAGTGGTTGGATGTGGTTGGTGTCCTGTTGGTTCCCATCCCCATAAGCGGGGATCGTGCCAGGAAACCTGGTTGTCGGCAATGAAAGGAGGTGCCTCCCATCAGATACCCACCAAAAGGGGGGGTATTGTGAGAGAAACTCCTATCTGCTGGTTTATGATTCCACCGATCCGGAACCCAGTTCTTATTTCAGGTGGTGGGAAGTGATCGAAGTGTTGTAAACCATGCAGTTGGGATAAGAACCGGAAATGGATGGTTTCCTTTCACTCCCTGCTCCAAGTACCTGAAAACAAGTGGTGCAATAGTTGGAGCGGAATTGCTCGGCACGCTGTGAATTGGCAAGCTTTGGGCGCCTGGACACATGCCATCGCTCCCAGCTTTCCGCCCGTCTTTCAGTGCTTTCGTTTCAGTTGCTGCGAGCGCCCGGGGAATGAGGCAGGCAATCTGATGGGCAAACACCTGTGAGGCCGCCAATTAGACATGCTCCGGAGAAGGCCAAGGCCGGGTAATGCGTCCAAGCGCCCATTTGCACCCGAGTTGAATGCCCATTCAGTCATTTCCCCCCGTTTGAAACCTCAAGGGATACTTAGACCATCGCACCTGTATGCAACTCAAAAACAAGAGGAGGTGAGAGTATTGCCATAGCTGCTAGACAAGTAAGATCAAGTCGGCTGAGCCGGGTTTGTCGTGGGTGCGGTGGCCTGTCCATGGTGGTTTGATGGAGGGAATGGTGGCCTTGGTGACATTACAAACCAGTGCAAGGTTTTGAGTTGATTCAGGTCAGGTGTTCCATTGATCTCAACCTCGCCATACCCGCAATGCTCGCTTGGAGTTTGACCAAGCTCTGCAGGCGGTGAGAGAAGCGCCGGACAAGCCTGAGGTGCGGAAGCGTGCGCATGTCGAAAGGTTTGGACATGGCGCCTGCTGCCTTCACTGGAAAGTAATTTCCACATGCTCAATCCCTGAGTTCCTGGACTTGAAACTTGGGAAGACCAGTTGAGTGGTAAACAACGAGTTGTTGTTTTTGGTCATTCTCCTCGGGAAGCGAGCGCACCGATGGCAGGTTGGGGGCAAAACATCCGGACCGCGCCAATCCGGACAGCTAGTTAATCCATTTGCCCAGAGGCTCATTTCGCATTGTTTGACGGGGGCAAACGTTTAAGCCACCGAAGCAGAGATGTCGAATCCACCGTGATTTTGTTTCAAAGTGTCACCGTTTAGGTTTGGCTCAAGTCGGTGTATCGGCCTTTGCCATTCAGACATGCTGCACCCTGACGAGAGGCGTGGGTCCCATGCCGAAGTGAAGCCAACCGAGCTTCTTTCCTTAACTTAAGCGAACACTTATTGGTTCAAGAGGTGCTTGCCTTGCACCTGGGCTGCAAACATGTGGATTTGCCAACCATTCAGGTGGTTGAATGCAGCTCCAGCAGTTATTTAGCTGAAGCTTACTGACTATCCCAGATCAGATTTCCCAGCCAGTTCGTCTGGGAAGACACATCAGAGAGCCCTGAACGGGGGATGCCGTAACGGAGTTTGGCACAAATTGGCCTCGATAAACCGAATGTGCTGAGACGGAGTGCGCCCACAAAAAAAGCCAAACTGTCCGAAATTGCCCGGGAAAGACCCCGTTTGCCGTTTGCGCGATTCCCGGGCAAGGGCGGCCCAGAAACAAGTTCCTGAGGCGGCCCACATCCTGCAATGTTTCCTTTTTCCAGCAACGTCCTGCAACCTTTGGGGGTTGCTCGGAGAAGCAAACTGTACGACCTTCACATGATTTATCGCGCACACCGGCGATATGTCCTGAACTGCCGCTAGAGGCACGATGTATTGGATGACATCATGAGGATTATCACTCTGCAACAGTGGTAGCAAGAAATCGCGCTTTACAGCAACTTGATGCAGCGCTGCATCCAAACACTGAATGTACTTTCAGGCCCATTCGCGAAACCCGCTCCGACCGAGAGCCTTCTCTCGTTTGGGTTCGCTGAAGGACTTGCGTGAGTGCCGACCCCCACGGTTCTTGTCTCAGTTGGAAAAGAATGCGGATTGATGGGCTTCTGTCCCACTTTTGACCCCAAATGCTCTCGGCTGTTGCAAGCCACGACTTCGTGGGAAACGCGTTTCGTACTGGTAAGGACATGTGGCACAGCGAGTATCAGCGAGTAGATCTCCATCCACGCAGCTCTGAGGGTCGCGACAACCCGGAGCAAAGCAAGGAGCACTTGGGCTCGACCAATTTGTTTGTTCCCAGAACTTTGCGGGTTGCAGCTTGAGACGGCTGTTGCGATTGGCAGCTGGCCACAATACTGCTGGCCAGAATACTGCTCGGCCGCATGCATTCGCACCTTTTGCGTTTCATGCTGTGCCTCGCAGCACCGGCAGAACCATGTCTTCCCAGCCCTTTTTTGCCATGGAAAGCTTTTGAAAGCGTTGAGCACCTCTTGCGAAGCTGGAGCTAGCCAGAATGTGCTCAGCCGATGCACGCCATGGTCTTTAAAGTTTCAATCCGCTGTTGGCCGAGCTTATGACAGGCTTAGGCTCCTTTCCCATAGCATGCCAGCGCGCCGCAACAGCTTCATGCATTTTGATGCTTTGCAGCAGCGGCGCCACTCGCCTTACGCTTTCAAGGCAGGCATGCAATCGGGGCTCAATTCAATGGTGCGGTCTTGGAGCATGTGCTTCGGCACGCTGCGCGTCAAGGTAGCTCGCAGGTTGCCTATGCGAGGTGTTCAGGCTGTCTTAAAAGGCATCATTCAGAAAGCTTCCCTTGACTTGAGCAAAACACGGAGCGTTTCGACCCAACGTTGGCTGCGGTTGGCACAACCAGTGCTGGCCCGTTCATGCCCTCACAACTTTTGAGTGGGACGATTGCCTTGCAGCGCTGGCAGCATCGCGACCTTCCAGTCCTTGTGCTTTCAAGGCTGGCGTTTTTTGATGTTCAATTTAATCCAGTCTTGGTGAAGGATTTGCTTCAGCATCTCGCTGTGTATCCAGGTAGCTCGCAAGGGCAGGCGGAGTGGCAGATGACGCCGGAACGTGTGCCATGTTTCCTTGACCTGAGCAAAACACAGAGCGCTTGGAGCCAAGCGGTGTGGCTGTGCCCAAGACTTTGTAGCAAGTTGCAGCTTGGGGCTGTTTCTGCGGTTGGCAGCTACAGCAAATACTGCTGGCCACCGTACTGCTGGCTTGTGCATGTGCTTGCGCCTTTGGCGTTTGATGCCTTGCCTTGCAACAGCGGCGCCGCATCTTCCATGTCTAGCTGCTTCTTGGGTTCGGATTGACCCTACACTCTGCTTGGAGCTGTGCGGAGTTCAATCTAAGCCTCACTTTGCCAGCGCAGCAGATGGTCGGCTGCAGAATTGGTGTTGGAGCGACTCGCTTGCAGGAGTGGGACGCGTTGACTGCTGCTGCAATTGGCAGACGCAGTACTGCTGGCGTACGTACACGCTCACACCTTTTGAGTTGGATGCCTTGCCTTGAAGCACTGGCACCGCATTCCAGCCCTTGCGCTTTCAGGGCTGGCGCGGGTTGATGAGTGCGTGAGTGGCTGTTTTCGCACCAATGTTGGAAACACATTGCAACATTAGACCTGCGGCTTTCATTTAGCTGGTGCAGGCGCTCAGAAGACAGTGACTTGCAATGATGCCAACAGGTGGGGTTAAAGCCAACCGAACATGTGGCCAGAGCTTTGTGAAATTTCGGTTGCGCGAGTTCACTAAGCTTTGTGGAGGCTGCCAGCCAAGCAGCTATGAAGGCTGAGACGAACCTCAACGCCCCTACGGCTCCGAGAACCTGCTTGGCTTACTTCTTCGAGAAGGCTGGCAGGAGCGAGGTTTGTGTTGCTTGCCAGGAGTGGCAGTAGATGGCATCCTGAGCATTGTTTTGCCCTGGCTTGAGCAAAGCGCGGAACTGCTGGACTCAACCAGCTTGGCTGTGCCCAGATATCCGCGGCAAGTTGCAGCTTGAGGCTGCTGCGGCTGGCAGAGAGTACGCTGTCCGGCGCATGCGCTCACACCTCTTGAGTTGGACGCTCGCCTTGCAGCACTGGCAGCCCCACAACATTGCAGTCCTCGCGCTTTCAAGACGGGCCCGTGTTGCGGTGCAATTCAATGATGCAGCTCTTGTTTAGTGTTCGCTTCAACGTTTGGCGTCGCATCAAGCCAGCTTGCAAAGGTTGCTTGGTATGGGATATGTTTAGGCTTTCCGGGCAGAATCTTAGAAACCATTGCAACGGGCGGCATGTTTCCTTGAGCAAGGCACAGAGCGCTTGGAGCCAACCGGGGCTATGCCCAAAACTTCATGGCAAGTTGCAGCTTGGGGCTGCTGCTGTGGTTGGCAGACTCCGTGCTGTGCTGCGCATGCGCTCAAGCCTTTCGAGTTGGGAGCTCGCCTACTGGCAGCCCCACAGCATTACAGTCCTTGCGATTTCAAGGGCGCGTGTTGCGGTTCAACTCAATGACGCAGCCATGGTTTAGCGTTGGCTTCAGCGTCTTCGTATTAGGTAGCTTGCAAGAGCTTGCTTGGAATGGGACCTGTTCAGGCTTTCGGGCGTTGCGCAAAGGGCGGCGTGTTTCCTTGACTTGAGCAAGGCACAGAGCGCTTGGAGCCAACCGGTGTGGTTGCGCCAGACTGCTGCTGTGGTTGGCAGACAGAGTGACACAGTATTTACTGCCGGCTTGTGCATGTGCTTGCGCCTTTGGTGTTTGATGCCTTGCCTTGCAAAACCGGCATCGCCGCATCTTCCCATTGCGCTGTAGAGATCTTCTGACTATTTTGAGTGTGGTTTGCCTAGCTGGCTCTTGGAGTCTGATTGATACACGCTGCTTGGATGTGAGCAGTCAGGAGGTCTCCCATTCCTCTAAGGCTGACATTGCCAGCGAAGGAGCTGGCACAGTTGGCCTCCGACTTGGCCTCAGAAGGAGTCGGTTGCTGATCCGAAGCGGTAGATCTCCCTGCAGGCTGCTCTCAGGTTGCGCCCATGTCTCGGGAAAGGTTGAGCACAAGTACGACAGTGGTCAATCCGGCTTGACTTGAGCAAAGCAAAGAGCACTTGGGCCCGACCAACTTGGCTGTCCCCAGATCTTCGAGGCAAGTTGCAGCCTGAGACTGCTGTGACGGTTGGCAGCGGGCTACAGTACTTCCGGTCACAATACTGCTGGCTTGCGCATGCGCTCCCACCTTTTGCGTTTGATGCTTTACCTTTCAGCACGAGAAGCACCGCATCCTCCTAGCCCTTGAGCCGCAGCCTGAGAAGCCACGTGTGCAAATGAGGCCCAGGAAGCCGACATGTTGGCTCAATCAACAATCGTAGACGTTTGCTGTCGAACTTAGCGTGTAGCAGGTTGGGCGTGGCGGAGCGTGACGGAGCCTGACGATGCCAAAACATCCCACCTAGAATTATGATGTTATGTCGGAACATTGGTGACATATCGTGAACTTGTCGGCAGGCAGGCGCGTAATAGCAAGGCTGAACTTGTTGGAAACCGTTAATGCAAGTGAAGAATCGGAGGAATGTAGCGGTTTTTATAGAAATATTCTAACGATTTTGAGCATCACTTGCAAAGCTGAAGCTAACCGAAATGTGCTCAGCGAATTCGATTCCTGTTTTCCAAACGCCCAAAGCCCTGTTGGTCCATCTGACAGCCTTAAGCCGCCTAGTTCCCAGAGAATGCCGGCTCACACCACGCCGGCTCAGCGCAGCCCTTTTGATAAGTTTGTGATTTGCAAGGGCGCTCCTGAGTCTCGACTTCCAGCAAATTCTGGACCTTGTGCTTTCAAGGGCTGGCACTGGCACGCATCGAGATGTCATTCAAGGACGCACCGAATCAAGGTAGCTCGCAAGAGGTTGCTTGGAATGGGATATTATGTCAGGCTCACGGGAGGAGTCTGAATAGAAGCATGAGGAGCATCATGTTCTTTGACTTGAGCAAAGCATGCAGCGGTTGGCGTCAACCAGCTTGGTTTTGCCCCGGACTTCGTGCCAAGTTTCAGCTTTGGACCGCTGCTGCGGTTGGCGGATACAGAGCTGGCCTGCGCATTCCCTCACAGCTTTTAAGTTGGGTGCTTGCAGCAAAGGCTGCGCCGCAACTTCCCAGCCCTTGCGCTTCCAAGGCTGGTGCACGTTGAGAGTTAATTTGGTGATGCAGTTTGCGCCTTTCATTTGCTTTGGTTGCTGGCTTCGCATCACTGCTGCTTGGACCAGCAAGAGGTTGATCAGAATGGAATATGCTGAGGGTTGCCTTAGTGAGTTGGACACATAGCACAATTTGGAGCCCACAGCTCGGCTGTTGGCGGCTGCCAACCCCATTGCCACGCCTCATGACTGTCGTGACTTAAATGTAGCATGTCTCTCAACTTTGCTTTCGCCAAGAGTGGGTGCTGCAAAGTCACGCCGCACATTGATTGTCCTTTTCCCATGGCCTGCGTGCCCTTCACGGCTTTTGTGAAGAACTGTGATTCACGCCTGCCTTTCCCGTCCTTGTTCCTACAGTGGCCCTGGGGCGTTCCGATGAGTAAATCAACAGCCTGCGTTGAGTTCCCAGCCCAGCGCTTCCGGAAATGCCGCAAGCGGCTGCGAAGGTACTGGGTGCTTGGTTGACCAGTTTTATTGCCCCCAATTCGGACGGACAGTTTACAGTCGTAGCCAATACAGGATGCGCCCATAGTGCAGTTTCTTTTCAGATGCGCACGAGGATGGCACGCTCTCTTAAAAGGCATCAGGTTTAGCGAATGTGAAGCTTAGGTCAAAACTGTCGTGCATGTTGGCATGTGCTTGCGACCCGATGGCAGTGTCCTTGGCGCAATCGTGCCCCGTTTTGTCTCATAGGGCGCACTGATTCCAGACTTTGGGGTCAGAAAAAAGAGGCACCTACTTGGGTGTTTTTCTGACTTTACTTGGGCCCATTGTTAGAGCTTCGTTGTTTGCTTCCCCCCGCTGCAAAATATGACATTCGTGTCTTCCATGCCAGTGGGATTGACATAAACGGGCAATCCAGCACCCTTCAGTTCGTAGCAAGGATTCGGGTGTCATTGACACCAATCCAACAGGGGCTTCCAGAAACCCAAGGTTGTGGCCTTTGTCTTGTCTAAACCCGAGGGCCTGTGGTTCTTTGTTGATGCAGCTGAAATTCAGCCGCTCAGGTAGGAGTCGGTTGCCGTTTTCGCGCAGGGCTGTAAGTTTGGGCATGTCTTCTTCGTTTGCTGGGTTTAGCGCCACGAAAAGACATGGCTCAAGCACCGGAGTCACTCATTATTTGTCCATTTGGCCTTTACATTCTGACGGTCAGTGCCAAATTCAATGGGTATGGGTCAAATTGAACCACCAGAGCACAGGTTTTAGCCCATGCTGCCATTTTCCAGGGCAACCCATTTCGGGTTGCCCTATTTTTGACCCACAACCAAGTGGGTCCCCAACGACCAAACCTCGGTCGCCGCCGGGTCTCGGTTTTGTTTCATCCAGCCAGGTCACGCAGCTCCCGCGCTTGCGGCAACGCTCACCTCCGCCGCCGCAGCAGAATCGCGGCAAGGCAGGGGCCCAGTCGGGCCCAGTAGGGCTCTTGGGAGTCGGCGGAGATCGGTTTCGCCAAAAGCGAAAGTTTCCTTCGTGGCTCCCAGCCATCCTCTTAGCTTTTTCGCCTTTTAGTGTTTAGCGGTGGTTTCCATTTAACCCACTAAAAGTAAAAAACAAATGCAGGGGATCTTGTGAGTTTGCAAAATGAGATGGTTGCAGAAGTGTGAGCTGGCGGCTTGCCGAGTCAAACCTAAGCTAGGGTCCGTCAGGTGAAACTGGCTAACACCCTGCCAGGTGTCTTCCATTCGACCGCTTGAAGCTTTCCAGCCAATTGCTTGGGAGGTGCCTGCCTACCTCAAGAGGCGGCAGGCGGGGGTTGCGTATGTTCGACGAGGGCGAGACGAGACGCATGGTATCTGCCAACCGAGGGGAATGCCCCGAAAGCAGGGCTTTGATTTCACCAAAGCGGCGGCGAAACCCTTCATGGGCCTCGCTTGCATGGAAGCCGGTCTCTCAGATTGCATACGTGCACAATAGGGGACCACTTTCATATTTTGGATGAAGTTGTTCAAGGGAAACCCGAAACCAACTTAGTTTTGCTGTATTATTTTGTTTTCAAGGGACTCCCAACAGACACCCGGAATCCACATGGGGTTGGCCGGCCCCGAAACGAAACCCGCAGGCGGAGCTTGCTGAGCAAAGGCGTGAGTTGCGGGGATGGCGGGGATTGGAACCCTCGAGGAAGGAAACGGTTCTCATGGCTACTGTGGATGGACGAAATCCTGCCCACTTTGAAACCATGGGCAACCATTGTTTGTTGATATCTACAAGGGAATCATCAATTTGAGGGTTTTTGGGTGGTGCAGGATTTTTATCCATCCACGGTAGCTCTAGTGTTAGGAGTTGGAACCACCTTGAAAGTGGTTGGTGGACGAATCCATCCAATGAATCCAACTACCATGTCAACCAAAGGTGAAAACCATTCACACTCGTGAGTCCGCAATTAGTAGACATGATGCATTTTGGGGAGACAGTTTGGGTGCCAGAACGTTGACTTTTTTGGGGTAATCCACTCGGAAGTTGGCCCCCCCCCCGCCTTTAGGTCGATAAACGTTGGGGTTAAAGACTAGGGGGGAGGGTCGGGGGGCAAGTCCGGAGTCATTAAAACTGAGCTGATGCAGGCGATGCCGGAGATGTATTTACACAAATATGACCAACATCTGACCAAAACACAGAGAACTGTATTCCTGCACAGCCGCACTGGTAGCCCTGCGCTTTCCTTTTTTTCCATGCTGGTTTGCCTATGGTTTTTGTTTGATTGCCCGCTCAGAACAGCCCAAGAGTACCCTGCAAAAGCGCCACCAGAACGGTGTCCTTTCATTGGTTAGCAGGGTGTCGACTGTCGAACTAGGCTGCTGCATGTCAGGCTACATTCATGCATACCGTTTCAGGTTTGCATGCTGACAGGACCCGCATGGCTGGTGTTTAAGACCAAGAAGGATGTCCACCTTTAGTAGGGATTCCCTTTCGGGAAACATGTGGGTGACGTAGAAATGAACCCGAAACGGAAAGTCGAAGCCGTTTTGAAGCATGCCATACCCAGACGGGCCGAATCATCGCAGTGAGATCCTGGCTTCTTTGGATGAGCCGAGGGATGGAGGGAGTCTGGGGTCTCCTCCAAAACTATTTTCTAGATTCGGGAAGACTAGTATGCGACATAGGAACACGTTGTTTCGTGTGTTCTCCAGACCCGTGCGGAGGATTCCTGCGTACTTCCTTTGCTTTTGTTGGGTCTCTGGGGGTAAAGCTTGGGGATTCTGTGCCGCTCCATGGCGCCGGTGAAACATCCGCAATGGGATCTGCCATCATCAAGTCCTGTGGGGTTGGGGGTCGCACAAACAAATGCATAACACACATGTGTCTGCACGTGAGCGCCTGCTTTTCCAATAACAGCGGCTTTTCCTTCGGAGATGGGCCAACGAATCCCGAGTTTCACCTGCGAAATCCGCGAAAGGAACGCGCAAGGAACACGAAAGGGCGAATTCCGAAAGTGGAGCCTAGCCCTTCGACCAGAACGTGACGCTTCCCGCAGATTATCCTCAAGTGGCTCAACTGTTCTCAAGAAGCAGAGTGGAAAACAATTGCTCGAAAGACTTGGCCCCGCGAAAGGGACACTGAGGACAGAAAAAAAGACGAAAGGCAGGCGAAAGGGAGGTTTCTTTGCACCTTTATTTTGAACAACTTTTCCCACGTCCCCATTTCCTCAAAACTGGAATCGGGTATGATCCCTAGAATCCCGTTTATGGCTCCAGTAGCCCTAAAAGTTGTAGGGGGAGATATAAATGGAATTGGGGGGCCCTCCACCCCCCTTTTTTCAAGGCAGCTGGACATTTGAATGTCCTCTTGGGTAATGCTGACCCCGGATTAATAAACCCCTGTTTAGTAATATGGGGGTGTCCCTGGTTTTTGGGGATAACAATCACTTTTGGAGGTGCCCCCACCCCCATAGTAATAAACGTTTGACAGGTAATCCGGAAACCACGTTTTGGGGACCCTGCGAGGTTGATTCCGGGATTGGCATTCTGAGCATTCAATCCGGGGTCATCCAAGCCATTTTCTCCTTGGGTCACATGGCAGGCGCATGGCGGCGCAGCCCAAGCCGCCTTCGGTTCCGCCGGGCTACAGGCGCCCAAGCACCCGGGGAGTCGGATGAGGAAGTCTGAAACCCGAAAGAGGCTCAACGTGATTTTGCCTTGCCTGGGCTTTTTTGTTGTGGTTTGGCCTTGCCTGGTCTTTTGTTATGGTTTGGCCTTATCTGGGCTGTTCAAAGGCGTAATCCTTGCCTTGGGTTGCGAAAAGGCTCCCCTTTGCAGCTTGCCAAAGGGATTATGGATTAGGATTGGCCACGCTCCAATTTGAACAGCCCAGCCCAATGGAAGTGTCCAGCTCTCATTCAAACACTTCTGGCTGTCAGAGACTGATGAGCTGATGCTGCTTGCTCCTGAAAGCTCTTGGAATGAGTCTTCAACGCCCATGGGTTTTGGAAGCCTGTAAGACACAGGACAACATTGCAGCTTATGCTTAAATGTGCGGGCTTTAGGCCAAGCTACTTGCATTCTGTTTGTTCGTTCCGAAGCGTGCATTGGGAAGGCCGCTGCTAAGAGCCCTGGAACGTGTTTATGTTGGTTGCCATATTGATAAGAGATGTTAATCTACGTGAACGGACACCCACACGCACCCCCTACCTCCGAGATTCACAGGAACCACCTAAGAATATGTTTTTAGAAAAGGCTTGAGCTTGGCGCGCCATGCTAAGACTCCGGTAGCGTTTGGCCCGCCTCTTTCCTCAAGCCTTCGTGAAGCAGGTGCAAAGTCTTTGGGAAACCAAGCCCTGTTTGAAGCCACATGAAACCACCGCTGGTCCTAACAAGGACATAGGCGCAGCATTCCTGAGTGCCTGGCTTGATTGCCTGAGCAATGACCTACGACGCCTGGGCGGCATTGTGAGGGGTGGATGATTTGTGCTTTGCACACCTTGACACTCACTTGTGCGTTGCCACTTGTGGCTATCCTTCCTTTGCCCTAAAGTGGCCTGACTACAAGTGCCTGAACCATTTCCACGCGCCAGCCGGACAGTCGATGTTTAGCTTTGAGCCGAGTGCTTGGCTCGCCATTTGACACGTCGAAAGGGTGTTTCCATGGTCGATCGCATCACCGTTGAAATCTGCCCTGCGCGGCTGCCGGCTCGGGAGTTCAACGGAAAAAAGCAGAGCATGGTTGCCAAACTGCGCGTTGGCTGACCCTTTGTGACCAGCGCCCAAACCCCCGCAACTTGCATTTTCGGTCAGCTGGGTAATTTTGGTCAATGAGGGGCTACATAAGCCTCGAGAATTATTTGGATAGAACTTGATAGAACGGAATGTTTTTTTGGAGCTTTTTTTTGGCGGGGGCTTCCTAAGTTACACTTCGATATTGTTGGTTTGTTGTAGTCACCCGTCAGGAGTCGCCCAAAGTTGTGTCTTATTGTGGTATTATAGTTCAAGCACTTTTCAGAATTGTCATTTGTTGGTAACCTTTCAAGCACCTTCAAACGCCAGCCGTTGCTTAGAAGCATCATGAATCATGAACAGGCCCTGTTGTTGGTGTTTGCTTCTTTACAGGGCCAGTTTCTGTCAAGGCAGCGCCTGAATGGGGCCTTTCCCGCGTGGCCACATTAGGTGCCCAAAATGGGAGCTCTCCACGGTCCAAGAATGCTGAGATGCTTGTCAACTACCCATTAAAAACATCATTTATCTCTTCTTTTTGGGGCAAATAACCTGTTTGTGGGAATTTGGGTGCGGGTATGTATATTTGCATCTTACCCCCTCAACCCTAGCTTGGTGATACATTGCAAGAGGACGCACATGCTGGTCCCATGGCCTTTGCAGTTGGTCAGGTCATCCGTTGGGACCTTGAGTCCCCTTTCCTTAAAGATAGCATTGTGGGAGAGGTGGGTAAGCTGCAGAAGTTGAGGACTTTCTGCTTTGGGTTGCCCTTTGCCCTTCGGCGTGCACATTCCCTGAAGCCGAATTCGACCATGAAGGCATTTGCCTACCACGGCATAGACCGCCAAATTCGGTTGAGGTCTCTAAATATGTGACGTACAATGTCCCAAGCAGTAAAATGGGGGATGGATAAGCTTGTTTGACCCCTTATTAGCAAGGGAAAGTCTTTCCAAAGAGTTCTATCTAAGCCTGGAGGGAACCTAGGCACAGCTATGGCTTGGGAAAGATAGGCAAGTCAGTGCTCAAAAAGTGGAGAGCCCCAGGCCTCAAAAAGCATGGCTTGAGCAGCGTCGATTGAGGTTCCCTGGGTGCTAAACTTGATAGTTGAGGTCTCCAGATGCGTTTCCAAATGCACAAAATCCTGTGAAACGATAGGGCTACAAAAAACCCAAAATACCTCTATACCCAATGTCCGTTGGGTATACAAGAGGTTTCGCAAGTTGCTCATATGGTTTTCCAGACCAAGTGGCAGCTCGCTGAGGAAGTTCGGGTGATGTCCATGGCGAGCAATTCCCTGTGCGCTGTGGCGGCGGAAAGCGAGTGGCAGGGTCGCGATCTCAAGGACGCCATCTCCACGAGCACCAAAGTGCCGGTTCGCGCCGCGCTTAGAAAGACAACTCGCAAATCTGGGGATTGTTTGGGTATTTGGGTACCAGCGAGGGGGTGTTAAAGGTGCAAAAGGAACGCAATGCGGTGGGGGGGTCCTCGTTCTTTGACACATGCCCATAGAAGTGTCCTCCAGCCGGTTGGTTTCCTTTCGGCTTCTTTCCAACACAGAAGGGTTCCCTAATTTCGAGGAACAGCAGCGGTCAACCTTGACTATCACCTACGCTACCACGTAGCGTGTTAGATGTCACAAGGGTCTTAAAGCGATGGACACCAACACTGAATCCAAGTGACGGCCCTTGCCCCCTTAGCTTTCTGAAATCACGAGGAAGGTCAACAAATTATTGTTTTCTGATTTCGCCAGAATGGAGGAGGCCTCGCTGTTGTCCCAACAATCCTCATCCTTTCCTTCTTTGGGGCTGACTGGGGGTTAATGCCAAACTACGTGGGGGTTGCAATCCCCACAAGTTTCAAATCAGCCTGCCTTGAGGCAAGATGAAGCTTCTTTTCGGCACGACCCTGATACGATGCTTGGCTGAGAGAAAGCATGCTCAGCGCGGGTTCCAGGCAACCATTCCGCTTTCCTTGTTTTGAGGAGCCACAGACAAGCTCGCCAACATCTTCGGAGAGAGCATGGAAGTGGAGGTGTTGCTGGTTAGACAGGCCCGAGTCGCTAATTCGTCGCCATGTGTCATGCTGAACATGATTGGTGTTTTAGACTCTTTAGACCATCCAGCATTCTAAGGCTTGACTCAGGATGTTGTAACAGCATTGCTTTTTTAGCTGAAACCACCTATTTTTTGAGGCGCTTTGGCACCTTGGCTGATCTGACCTGCCTGATCCACTCTACTCGCGCAGGAAGTGGACTTTGACTACTGGCTGGACGAGATCAGCAGCTCCGGCTTCACCCCTAAACCTAGGATAACATTTGTGTTGATTCATTGGGAGAGGTACGGAGTCCTCGTTGACCCCAAAGGAATGCACATTCATTCACAGAGAAACTGGCCTACATTAAGCCCTGGATTCCTGGGCATGGGTGCCCAACTGAAGCGGAAAGACACCAGGCTGTGTGGCACGTCCAACCGGTCCCGACTGGGAGCTGGCAGCTGTTCCTTTCGAGGATGAGCCTGTTCAGCAGTAAACAAAATTGCTATAACACACCAACCCATTGCAGTTACTTTTAGAGGTTTTTCCAGGCACCAGCCACTTAACATCAACTGGCCGTAGCCGGACCTGGAGGGCGGACGCTGACAGCAACTGTTGTTGAAGAAACAAGAAGAGGCTGGTGCGATCTTGGGTAGTTTGGAAAGTACCTGTACCCGGGATGATTCACAGAAGTATTCCTGCATTGCACTTGGCACCAACTTCTTGGATGATTCATGGTCGAAGAATAATATATTTAACAGCTCTAGTCATCAAGGGACACGTGGACCTCGAGTCCTTTTTGTGTTTGACGTCGATGTGTATGGCTTCCGTGTGGCAGATCCACATCTTTCGGTTGCATCTTTTGCCCAGCCCAGTTGCTAGGTAGAGACTACCGGCGGCTTCGGAAGGCGCCGGAGGCGAGGTGGAGGCAACTCCACTCAAATCTGACCTGGGTTGTCCTGGGTTCATGGTAGTGAGACACCACACATAGCGTTTACCCACATTGATTTCAGAGTGATTTCTGGAAATGTGACCTCTTCCTGTGTGGATCCGATGTTTTCTTTCAACCGTGACTCTTTCATAGAAAGCCCAAATACATCCAACATTCACTATGTCTATATATATATATATATATTATTATTAAAAAAAAAAAAAAAAACACGTGTTGAGTGTGGTGTTGGAAGCCTTTCAAGGAGCCGCCGAATGTTCCTAAGTTGACCAACGCAGAGTGGCATTGCTCTCCGCCACCTAGAGTCTACCTCCTGCCCCTCTCCTCTCCCAGCCGCAGGAGATCAGGGCCGACCAGCAGGTGGTGCTGGCGGCCATTGAACAAGATGCGGAGGCGATCGGCTGTTGCGCGGAGACAACAATTTGGCAGTTTGGCGGTTGGCGTAGTCAAATCGCATACTTCGCACCACCATATAAAGCACTAGAATATATGCGTATGATTTACATATGTATAAATGCATATCTGCACATATGTACATATATATATATATATGAATCCTGCAAGCCTATACCCTTAAACCAACACATGGAGGTAAACCCGACGTGCCATGTATGCATGACAATGTCCAAATGGGATTTAAAAAAATGCACGCGTGATAAAGACAAATGGGGGGCCCAAAAATATTAATAAATGCACCTGGATTAAAGACAAGCACCCGCCACCCGCGCCCAAAAAAAAGAAAAGAAAGAGAGGGAGAGGAGAGATAGCCAAGCCAACACCTGGTCCTTGAATCTTTGGTACCTTGTTCCTTAAATCCAAAACTGTCAGCTTTACCAAACCCATGTTTTCTTACATGTCTCTTGTTTAAACCTGCCCGCAATCAAACCCACAAAGGGGGTAGTACTTCAGCCCTTGACATTATTTCAGGGGCCCCCGAAATAAAGTCTTGTTGCCTGGCCCCCTGAAAAATACGACCTGCCCAGTGCAATTGCATCTTAGCTAGTCAAGTAATTAGACAGCCTAGGTGAGGCTGGCAGTGCTTCATGCTGTGTTGTTAGATTTGCGCCTGCTCCTCGAATCCAAAATTGTCAGCTTTACCAAACCCATATTTTCTTACATGTCTCTTGTTTAAAACCTGCAAACAATCAATCTCACAAAGGGGGTAGTACTTCAGCCCCCAACTTGACATTATTTCAGGGGCCCCCGAAATAAAGTCTTGTTGCCTGGCCCCCCCAAGAAAAACACAAGGAAGCTCCAGCGATACTAAATCAAATGGAAACTCAAGTCTACCAATACTAAATCAAATGGAATCAGTTCCAAATCTCAAAAGGAAGCTTCAGCAATACTAAATCAAATGGACACCCAGTTCCAAATCTCAAAAGGAAGCTCCAGCAATACTAAATCAAATGGAAACTCAAGTCTACCCATACTAAATTAAATGGAAACTCACTTCACCTGGATCTCAAGATACTATTTTAGATACCCCCATCGTTGAGGGGGGGTCCCCCCTTTACCAATCCCATTTGGACATTAAGCATTGGGTTTGTTTACAAGAACAGTGAGCGAAGACGGGCGCCGTGAAGCGGGCAGAAGGCCCTGCGCCGCGGCAGGCGATCAAGTTCGCCTCCGAAAGCATCAAAGCTAACAGCGCCTGGGCTGAATTTGCGGCCCTCGGTGTCTGGTGCTTTTTTCCCTTGCTTGGCACACCATTCACACCCCCGATCTCGAGAGTTTTTAATTGTGTACATCAGAGCCCGTTGGTCTTGCAATGGTCTTCTGTCCGCTTGGAAATGCGGTATGGGTATCAGAATGTGAAATGTCATGCTCAAGTGTCCGACCTTCTTCAGATGCGGTATGGGATTTGGGTGCATGTTGTTTGCCTTCTTCGGTATGACAAAGGCTTCTCACATTCAGCGGCTTAACAAGCTTTAGCCGGCCCGCTGTTTTGTTGGCTCTCAGGAGAATGCGCGCTGGAAGCGCTGAAGAAGAATTGGCGCCTTTATTCCTTCCTGGACTTGAACCTGTGGGAAGATCGCCGCCCGGCAACCCACGAGACCAAAGCTGAATTCATAAGGGTCATTTTTGGCCGATCGCTTTGGGGTACGCCCTATGCCAGCCTTTGTATCCCGTTGGTAGAATCAAAGGTTAATGGGTGATACTTACTGCATTTTTTTTGCCTGGTCGCCTTTTGGGGTTGATTCAATTAGGCAAGACGTTCGCCAGGTGTCCCTATCAGACACCCTGCCAAGGAGATGTGGTCATGCTTTTCGTGCCGCACGTGCCATCCGTTTATGCCAAGCTCTCGTCAGAGATGAAGAGTGACCGTGGGCCGGGGGCCTCGTCGGTGGCTTTTGTGTAAAGTTTTGTGGTGGTTTTTCAAGGAGGACACCAACATGGAAATTAACACAAAACCATAGAAACCCGTTGCTTGGATTCATGTGCGCCAACTATATGGAGGGTGCGTCCCAATCACGAAAGCTAGCTCCTTGGAGCCAAGCTGGAGTCTCGTTTACCGCGCAGTGGGTCAAAATCTCCGTCGATCAGAAAAGGGTCTGATTTATCATTGGAAATGTGGGTCGCGTTGTGGAACGCGCTGTTGCCGGGCGATCAGCTTTGCAGGCATGTTGGTTGCCACAACCTTTGATTGAACGGGGTGTCCAGACATTCTTCTCGGAAGGGCTTCTAACGCAGCTTCTTGGACACCTATATAAAGAGAAGATTCTATGAACACCGGACTCCTTTGCACTGTCAAGCGTTTCGCTAATCTCTAACCTGAAAAGCCACGCAGTTTGATTGCTACAGCCCTTGTTTCAATAAGGTGTCCAAAGAATGTTTTTGGATGAGCGGGAAGAGCGGCCTGTTGATTCTATGAACCCAGAATTGCCCTTCATTGTCAAGTCTTTCCCTAGTCTCGAACCTCAAGAACTGAAGCATTTCACTGCAGTCTTTCTTTCAACGGGGTGTCCAGAGAATAGCTTCGGAAGCGCATGAAAACCAGCTTGTTGGACACCTCTGGATCGAGTTTCCATGGCCCTTCGCTGTGCTGTACAAAGGGATTCTGCTAGCTTTCGTTCCCCTCCTCTCAAGTTTTCTGACAGTCCCTCACCCAACGAAGAACCATGGTATTTTAGCGGTCACCCAAGTGCCGTTGGCTTGGCCAGGTGCTGGGGAGCCAAGATTCAACATTGGGATTTTGCAGATGGGGGCCTCGGAATCAGTCTGTAGGGTTGCTTCTAAGAGGAGAAGAACACTTGGGTGCATTCCCCACCATTCTGCCTTTGAAGAGTGCCTTTGAAGAGGACTGTTCAAATTGCTAGTTTTTGGGAATGACGCAAGGATTGCTGCAGGATGTTTGAAGGGCACGCTCACTTTTGGACGAACCTCGCCCCTTTGACGCACCTGCCAGTTTGTTTGATTGAGACGGGGGTCAACGCCAATGCACTCAAGTCCTGCGCGCAGGGACTTGTGAACACACATCCAATCCACCCTGGTCCCTCCAAAGCTTGTTTGGCGATATTTGTTGCGGGATGGCCAAGGACGATCCATTTCTCCTGGTCTAAAAAATGCTGTGCGCAGATGCTGTGGAACAATCTCGTGCTGGTTGCATTTCATGCAAGCAACTAACCTTACCCGGCCCAAGTTTGCATCAAGTTGTGAAGGGTAGGTTGACACAGCAAGAAGCTGTTTGTGAGTGGGCAGACGCCCTATCCCGCGACCGTGGGCATTGTCGGGAAAGCTGCGAAGGACACCGGGGGCATATCGCGAGAAATTTGGCATGCGCTTGGCAAACGAGCCAACGGCAGCGCCCAGAAATGTCCGCGCGTTTATTGTTTTGATGCTGACGTTTGAGCGGGACACAGCACAGAGGACCGCACCCGGAGGATCCTTGATAGGCCGAGCAGCACTTTCACGCTTGAGTCAGCATGGACACTTAGCATGTGAATCAGGGAGACCCGACTGATCCACAGGAACGCATGGATTGGGGGGGTAACGCGACATATTGTCCCTCACACGTGAAGGCTTTCGGCTTGTACCCAGTTGCCAGTCGGAAAGCAACAAAAAAACGAAACCTTTACAAGTGAAGGTCACTAAATGGTACCGGGTATTAACCCACCCGCGTGTCCGAGTGCTTTCCACCCCTGAACACCTGCTCGCTCGCACGCATCACGTCCGAGCTGCACACACGTTGGCGCATGATAAGCACACCCTGTCACGCGCATCACGTCAGAGCTGCACGCTAGTGGGCAACTGACCAGCGCACCCGCTCACGCGCATCACGTCACAGCTGCACGCTCGTTGAATCCTGATAAGCACACCCGCTCACGCGCATCACGTCAAAAATGCACGCATGCTGGGACATGACAAGCACTCCCTGTCACGCACATCACGTCAAAAGTGCACGCATGCTGGGACATGACAAGCACACCCTCTCACGCGCGTCACGTCAGAGCTGCGCGCACGCTAGCGCATGATAAGCACGCCTGCTCACGCGCGGAGCTGCACGCTCGCTAGTTGGCGCATGATAAGCACACCCGCTCACTTGCACCACATCAGAGCTGCAGGCACGCTGGCACATGATTAGCACATCCGCCAAGTGCCATGTGTGCTGACTTGGTCCAAAACTGCACATGTCGACCTTAGAGTCAGCTAGCGTGAGTTAGTTACCGGGATGTCCCACAACCCGAGAAACATGCATTCTTGTCAAACTGCCGGAGAATAGACGCATGAGCTCCGAGGACATGCACAAAAACGTGCGGGTGACTATGTGCCCGGCGCGTACTAAATAGGTCTGGATATCCGCGTTTGTTTTTTCAATTAGCTGCTAATTAGCTATCAACAGTTTGGGCTGAGACTCCTTGAAAGTGACGCGCGTGTTTGAAATTATAAGCCCTTTCTCCAGCTGTTGATATTATTCCTTTCCGCATCTGGTACCAAGATGGGGTATCCAGAAAGAAGTCTGTGGAGTTGAAACCAACTTCCACTATCACTATAGGGCTTTCTACCTCTACTTCTTACCTGATATTCTTTGGTCAGCAAAGAAGGCTATGACTCAGGGCAACTGGACAAGCCATGCTCCAGGCTGGTAGAGGCTGTATTGAGAACAGACGGCTGCCTGGATGCAATGGACAGGGCTCCAACGAGTTTGCCTTTTTCGCTGCTTACAGACGACACCTTTCCTTGTGGCTCCTTGACATGTAGCCTTTTACAACTCTGCACTAAAGTTGTGGTGGGAAGCCATATCTCGGTCCAGGGTTCACGGCCAAGTTTTTGCCTTCAAGTGTGCTTTCTTTTGTCGGGCTAATTAACTAGGAAGCATGATGCAAGTGAGCAATTCTTGGGAAGGGAGTGGTTTGGGAGAGCGGTTGATCAGTTGGTTACCCCAGCAAAGGAGCTAAACACGTTCAGCCAGTGGGTTTAAGTGCGTTTGGCACAAGCATGGAAGGGTTGGGGGTCTTGTAGTCCGAGCTCATGGTTGTTTTAGGGTCCTGTTTGTTTTCCTTCAAGCAGAAACCTAGGTTCGAGTTTGCAACAGCAGTGGAGTTTAAAGCTATCGGTTCTTGAATAGGTTCTCACAAATCTCTCGCGGTGAATAAGAGGGCCCGCTGAAACTCGGCTTGTAGCAGCTGCGTATTGACAATCAACGGCAACACATTTTTGCGGGTGTGTTTCGCATATCGCTCTGGGATGCAGCGTTCACCGTACCCTTTCCACTTGTATGGAGCTGGGTCCACAAACTGGTGCCCTTTGAAGCTGCAAGTGTCAGACACACCACAGCAGCAGTCCTTGTGTGTTCACACAACAAGTGGGAAGGCAGCGCATCAGGGCACATAGTTGCCTTCTTTCTTGTTTGTGTTGAGCTGCATCGCGTGTGGCCCATTTTTAAGGTGAGTGTCCCTTGATAGCATGGCTTGGTGTGACCTTAGACCTACAAGGGTCATCGACCTTTTCTTAGATCGAGGTGATGTTTACAGGCGGGACGTGTCGGGAACCTTTGTTTTCAGAGACCCCTGGTCTGGTTGGGCTTCGGCTTCTTCACAAAGCAAACTACACCAGCATAGACCCCAGATAGCACACCACGGCTACGAACCATGCCGCAGCACCACAATGGTTCCCGCGGCATGATGATGATGTTGACAGCATCTTGGTGATGTCGACAGCATCATGAAAATACCGCAGCTACTCAGCATAGTGTACATAGACGCGCAAACAACGCCCTGGTGAGTCCATCAGCAAAACGATGATGTTGACAGGGTGATGCTGATACACCAGCCACGAACGATTCCGCGCTACATATCTAGCAGAAAAAAGGCAGAAACGGTGTCCTGATGCGTTCGACAGCATCACGGTGATGCGGACAGCATCATGGTGATGCTCACAGCATCATGGCGATGGCAAAGGCAGCATCCTGATGATGCCACAGAAACGAATCATCTTGCGACAGTGTAATGAACTTCAGCACCATCCTGATGTTGACAGCATTACACCCGCCGCCACACCCACGAACCATAACGCGGCATCGCAGCGATTGCAGCAGCATCATAACGTGGTTGACAACATCATGATGATACACCAGCCACGAACCATTACGCGCGACAGGTAGAGTAGCAACAACGTCCGAATCGGTTCAACAGCACCATGATGCTGCTGACAGCATCATGATGCATCATGATGATGCGACAACCACGATACCCCAAACAGCACCCGCCCTAGCACCCTGCCATCCATATGCGCCCGCACCATCACCAACACCCGAAAACAGCAGCCAATAGCACCCCAACGCAGCACCCGCGCCAGCACCGGACGAGCACCCTGCGTCACGTACTGTCATCAGCACCTGAACCGAACAGCACCCAAAACCGCACCTGCGCCAGTACCCCAAGTGCATGCCCCCTAGCTCCCAGCCGTCGATCTTGCAAGACAATTTCCCTTCTTCATTAGAAGTCTATGGTTTCCAGTTATCTGGGAAATAAGCCCACGCGGTCAGCAGCACCTCAAACAGCGCCCCAGAAAGTACCCCAAAACAGCTGCATCAGCTCCCCAAACGGCATGCGGCCATCAATCTTGCAAGAATGCGCCTGCACCAGCGCCCCAAACAGCACCCCAAACTGAGTGCCCCCCCGCTGTCCATCAGCGCCTTAAACAGCACAGGCGCCAGCACCTTAATCAGCACCGCAAACTGCATGCCCCCTAGCACCCGTCCAGCACCCCAAACTGCATGCCCCCTAGCACCCGTCCGTCAATCTCGCAAAACAGCACCCCCACCAGCCCTCCAAACTACATGCCCCCGATCTCGCAAAGCGGCGCCGCCACCAGCACCCGAAACTGCATGACCCCTAGCGCCCGGCCGTCAATTTCGCA